TTCATATGTGCCAATTCCAGTACTTATTTATTCCTATCCATGTTTAATTTATTCGTAACCCAGTTGCTCGGTCACCAAATCTTGATTATCCAATTTCTTATCAACGTCCTTTTCGTTCATCCACATGCTTCACAATCATATTTCAGACTTGAAGACAAATTGAATCATTTCATTGTTCTTAGAGCGTTTACTGCCCCTTTACTGAATAGTTTCGTTATATTTTTCTGTTGTTCCGTAATTCTATATCATTTCTAATCACAAGGCTATGAAGATCAGGGACGAGGTGTTTGATATCTTCTTTGGTGGTCGTTACGTGATACTTTTAATGGGCGCCTTCTCTATTTACACGGGAGTGATATATAACGACATTTTCTCGAAATCGGCCAATCTTTTCGGATCGTCTTGGTACCCTGGGTACGACAAGCATGTCATCGCATCAAAGAATCTTCTTCAATTGGAGCCACGTACTTCGGAGAATATCACCGATCAGATGTTCGCCGGTCAGCCTTATCCTTTTGGCATTGATCCGGTCTGGCAGATTTCCAACAACAAGATTCCTTTCATGAACTCACTCAAGATGAAAATATCCATCATCCTGGCTGTCCTTCACATGATATTCGGAATTGTTTTGAGCTTCTTCAATCACAAGTGAGCTATTCTACTCATAGTCATAATTCCAAATGGTTTAATGAGGTTGTATCCGACTCTCTTGTTGGTCATTTCCAAAAGATTCTTCAACAACACTTTATCAATATGGTGTGAAGCCCTACCACAGCTACTGTTTTTAATATCCATTTTTGGCTATCTCGTGATCATAATTTTTTACAAATGGGGAGCCTACACAGCCGACGAGGCCTCTACGGCACCTAGCCTCCTGCTGGGTAAGAGCGCCTTTCCATTCTAACTTGTCTAGTGCTCATTAACATGTTCAGGTTCAACTATGAGGTGAAAGGAGGTGCTGGTGATCCATTTTACGGGGGACAGGTGGGTGATTTGAATTGGATACCTCATTTGATTGCCTTCAGTCTGTTATTCAATCACTTCTAATGCTGATTGCTCTGGCATGCATACCGTGGATGCTATTATCAAAACCATTCATCCTGCGATGGCGTTTCAAACGCATTGTGAGTTAGATTAATTTTGTTCTTGTTAAAACTCAAGGGAAAAATAGATCAACCTAACAGTTACAACTTTTGGGAACATATTTAGTGAATAAGATTCTTTTATCATTTCATCTTATTTTTCCAGTCTACTTTGGTTCACGGGACACAACCCGAACCGACACCACCACCGAGACCACCAAAACCAGACTTCAACAATGCCAGTCAGGGAAATGAGGGGTTCAAAGAACCGGATGTTAAGTCCACGCCACAAGCAGTAACTACAGATGGCCACGGTAGTGACACGGAACATGTGAGCCCATCAAAACTCAACGAAAAAGGACATGCGTAATTTGGGCTTAAGGATTTGCGTAGTGAAATATTAAACTTTTTTGCGGCCCCTTAGATTTCGAAATGATTCAGGATAAAGTCTTAGCTCGAGTAATATTTGCGAAAGAGTTGCATGCTTTCTGACTTTCAGTTTGATTTTGGCGAGTGTATGGTTTATTCGGCCATTCATACAATTGAATACTGCTTGGGCTGTATTTCCAACACGGCGTCCTACCTGCGACTTTGGGCTCTTAGTCTGGCTCATGCTCGTAAGTCCTCGTTGTTTCCATTACATTAGCAAGTCTCGTGCTCATTCTTTCTCCTGAATATTATTTACAGAATTGTCGGAAGTGCTCTGGAATATGGTAATGCAGATTGGATTGAAAATTGATGCTTACTATGGGAGTGTCCTTTTATTCCTGATATTTTCCGCGTGGGCTGGATTAACTGTTGGTGTGCTGGTCTTAATGGAGGGTTTATCCGCTTTCCTTCATGCAATACGTCTGCACTGGTATGTTTTTATTTTGAAATAGATTTTTGGAAATTTACGTGCATCATTTGTATAGTCAAATTTTAGGGTGGAATTCCAAAATAAATTTTACTCGGGAACTGGCCACCTATTCGAGCCATTTTCGTTCAAGGCATACATCAATCTTCCTCTTACTGAACCCTAGATCAGTTAGTTAGACTGAATAAACGTCGTGGCAGATGTTGCGTTGACCTTTTGAATGTTGTCAGCGTTGATTTGTGTTGGATTTGGTAAATATTAGACTCTGAAATATAATTATTGTGTTTGCTGTCTAATGTCTTTTGGTTACCCAAACTGTTGACTCATTTGTGACTCTGAGCCCATCTT